CTGCAGGCTGAGGACGAGGCTGACTATTAATGTTCACCTTGGGCCCGCGGCCTCAGTGTTCCCACGGTGCCCAGGGCTGTGGGGAAGTGCGACGAGAACCTCCTGGTGGCTGATGGCTCTTTGCGATGACGGGCGTCCCGCAGCAGTGGAAGGACTGGATTCTCTGTTATATCATCCTTCCCACATTGGAGGGTCTGGAGCTGGGGTCTTGTTGTAGCCACACATTCTGGGAAACAAACTCATTCAGAAGGACAATGCAGATAGTGGAGTGCAGTTTATTACATTGGCGGGCCCAAGGCAGAGTCTCCTCTTAGCCAATGACCCCGACCAGTTTTTGTGAAAACCTTACATACCCTAAGTGTACTTGCTCAAGCCCACCTCCCCAAATTCCTTGAAACTAGTCTGGACAAGGTAAGAGATACGATCACAGTTAACCCATGATTCATGTGTCATAAGACTAGATAAACAGNCGGGGAGTCTGGTTTCCCATCGGTATGCTACTTCTGTGGACACCAGGCACAAAGTTCAGAGTCTATTGGGAGGGTGACCATGCGTGTAGCCAATGTTTGCAGCCTGGCCTGAGACGGAGTCCAGCTCTGTCTGCTCCTCCTTCAGCCTCAGCACATCCTGTGAGGGGATCTGTCTGAGGGCCGCCTCCATGCTGGTCTCACATCCACTCTGTGTCAACTCCATGGATCCCCTGAGAATCACGAGATGAGAGACTGTCCCCCAGGCTCACACCCTCTGGATGTAAATGGGAATCCCTGATGTACATATAACCACAGTGTAAAATCATTCGCATCACTAGACAAGAGACTGACCTCTGATTTTGGTCCTAGGAAGCATTCTATAAGTCCCAGGGATGTCCTGTCTGAGAGAAGGGTCTGTGTTTGTCTGGTAACCTTGGACTGGTCAGTTGGGGTTCAGGTAGGCAACTCTGGGTCAAGTACAATTGGGTGCTAAACACAGAGATGATAATTACAAGTAATAATAATAAAGCAAAATTTGAAAGTCATTCAGTTCAGTTCAGTTCAGTCGCTCAGTCGTGTCCCACTCTTTGCAGCCCCATGAATCGCAACACTCCATCAAAAACTCCCAGACATTACTCAAACTCATCTCCATCGAGTCAGTGATGCCATCCAGCCATCTCATCCTCTGTCGTCCCCTTCTCCTCCTGCCCCCAATCCCTCCCAGCATCAGGCTCTTTTCCAATGAGTCAACTCTTCGCATTAGGTGGCTGAAGTATTGGAGTCTCAGCTTTAGCAACAGTCCTTCCAATGAACACCCAGAACTGATCTTCTCTAGGACGGACTGGTTGGACCTCCTTGCAGTCCAAGGGACTCTCAAGAGTCTTCTCCAACACCAGTTCAAAAGCATCAATTTTTCGGTGCTCAGCTTTCTTCATAGTTCAACTCTCACATCCATACATTGTTATGCCCGATGTCCGAATCCCTGAGCGGGAAGAGAGAAGGCTTCCAAGACAATGCAACTTGCATAAAAGGGAACTTTAGTGCTGACTCGAGTCAGGGCTCCTGCCGCACGTCCAACACAGTGGTACGGGGTCAGAGAGCGCCGAGCCCCAGCTGTTACCAAATTTATAAGGTGCGCATAAGCAGTTGGTAGCTGGCTTAAGCGGATTGGTTACATGTTTGCAAAGTAATCTTATTGGCCCAAACCTTCGCGGGCTTTTTTCAAACTTGGGCGTTCACAGGCTTTTCAGCTTTCCCCTGATAGGTTCCCTTTTTCTTACTAAGCGCATGTTGATTGGCTGGCTCCAGGGGGCCTGATAATCATGTTACCCTGGAAAACCAGGCCTACTCCTAATCTAGGCTGCCTGTCATGGTGCAGCCTCACAACATGACCACTGGAAAAACCATAGCCTTGATTAGACGGACTTTGTTGGCAAAGTAATGTCTCTGCTTTTTAATATGATATCTAGGTTGGTCATTACTTTCCTTCCAAGGAGTAAGCGTCTTTTAATTTCATGGCTGCAATCACCATCTGCTTTATTGAGAGTTATTAGTACTTATCAATCCTGGTCTTGGGTCTGTTAAGATACTTTATATTAATACTACTCTATTTCTATCTATGTGTATAATTTAACATTTCCCTCAGTCCAAAAACAGTAAAAGTTTCCAAGGTCATCTTCTGCTTTATGCCACTTTATATCCACTGTGTCATTGAGACCTGGTGAGCTTGTGTTTTGAAGTCACAGCTCCTCAAAGCCTCATTCCCATTACTACTGCGGATAATGAGCGGATCTGCTTGGCACGCAGATCTGTTCAGTCACCAAGTCCGAGTCCCCATTTGCAGGTGACTGAGCAGAACCCCAGGGACAAGGCAAGCATGTCTGCGCTCCTGTCTCCTGTTTGTGACTGTGGGGCCAGTGAGGACATGAGCCTGACCCCCGCCCCCCCAGGTCAACAGTGCTGAATACCAGGTGGGCACAGGCGGTTGGCCCTGCAGTCACCCGCTCCCTCTCTGTTGACTGAGGCCAGGGAGCCCAGGGTCTGAGCCCACCCACTGCAGCACAGCAGCCCCCTCAGCCTGACTCCCCTCCCTGAGGGCAGCAGCCCAGCAGAGCGTGGTTTCACACCCACCCGGATGGAAGAAGCTGCCGACAGTTGACAGTCGTTGCCCCACGTCCCCAGGTCAGAGTCAGCAGCTCAGAGAACTGGGGCCAGTGCCCCCTTTGCTGGGTCACCGGTCAGTGAACACACACCTCTGATCTTCTGCTGCAGGAGGCTCTCCAGATAAAAAGAAGAAGAAATGGGAATCACAGTTTCTTTAGGGAATATGCTATGCACAGGCCTGTGCTATAATAACCAGGGCCTCTTTGACAAATAAGCATGACTTTCTCATCACCCCCAGGTGAAGGGCTGGGAGTAGTTAAAAGTACATCATGGAAAGACATCTTGAAGTACTGATGTGACTGATGGAAAACCATTAGTGACTGTTCCCATAACCAGAGCCTTGAGGGAGTTGCTGAGAAAGGGTGTCACTAGCCGAAGGGCTAAACAAAGTCATGAAAGGCCTGAAGGTTTGACATTGAGGACTGTGCATTCTATATCTTTATCCCCCATCTGAGATTGTAAAGAACAGATATCTCTAAAGCACGATTAAGGAAATAGAAGTTAACAATAAAAGGCATGCAAGGATTAGGATCTTGGCTTTTCCCTGTGAATGGCATCAGACCCCTGATCCCCACTTTATTTCTGAGTCTTATTTTCCCTTATTCTTCTGCAGCACCACTCCCTCAGATTGGTTCGTTGTTGGGCTGGTCCAAACAAGTTGCTTCATGGAATCTCCCCAAAGTCCAGGACCTAGTAAAAAATATCACTGCTATCAAGAACCGGGAAAGTAAGTAATGATGGGAAAAGAGACTTACATAGACATCAATGCTGAGGTGACTCAGATGATGAAATCAGGTGACAGATATTTTTAGTGAACAACCATCAAATCTATTTGATGAGCAAGTATAAGCACTTTTGGGGAAAAGGGAAAAGGAAATAAATGCAAAAAATACAGTTCAGAGAACAAAGTGGAGCTTTTCCCTCATAGCTCAGTCGGTAAAGAAATTGCCTGCAAAGCAGGAGACCTGGGTTCGATCCCTGGGATGAGAAGATCCCCTGGAGAAGGGAATGGCAACTNTTCTACAACCCTCCACCCCGTGACCTCCTCCAGCCTGATCAAGCTCACTTTGTCAGAAGGCCATGGACGTGTTTCCAGAGCTTCCTGAACGGGACGCTCACTTCCTCCTCCTCCCCTTGAGCCGGGCTGACATCTCCCTTCTCCAGAAGCCTCAGGTCCCAGACTCCCAGCTGCGGGTCCTCTCGGTGTCCCTGGGAACCTCAGGACAGACCCAGCTCAGGCCACCCTCCCAGATGTGATGCTGAGCCCTGGGCGACACACAGAACCCAGGGAGGTGTTTGGTAGGTCAGAGGGCGGGGGCACGTTCGTCTGAGGGGCCCTTTGTCCTGGGGGTGGGGGGCTGAGAGACGGGCAGTCGCGGCCTCAGCACAGCTCTGGGGCGGCTGGCCTCCCCTGCAGTCCTGACCCCCTCCTTCACTGCAGAGGTCAGGACAGCCCTCAGCACCCTGACGCCCCCTCCCTCACCGCTCCCACCACGTGCAGGAAACGTGCCTCCCTGTCCTTCCTCGGGACATGAAGGGTGTCTGGGATCTCAGGGTCCCTCTTCCAGCCTGAGCTGACACAGCCGCCCTCTGCCTCTGCCCCCCTGGGAGCCTCGGCCAAGCTCACCTGCACCCTGAGCAGCGGCTTCAGCAGCTACTATGTGAACTGGTACCAGCAGGTCCCAGGGAGGGGCCCCCGTTTCCTGATGCGAGTGGGCACCAGCGGTGTTGCTGGATCCAAGGGGGATGGGATCTCTGACCACTTCTCAGGCTTGGGCTCTGGCCTGGAGGGTCCCTGACCTTCCAGAACATCCAGGACGAAGACGAGGCTGAATACATCTGTGGGGCAGCCCATGGCAGTGGGAGCAGCTTCGTGTAACCCACAGTGACACGGGCAGAGAAGTGAGACCAAAACCCCAGTGATGGCCCCTCCCCACTGCCCTCCCATCACCAGACCCACAGTTTAGAGGGTGTCTCCTGACCTGCCTTGAGAGTTTCCACCTCATCAAGTGTTTTCATAACTCGGCACCTATCTGGGAGGAAGGTCTGTCTTTGCTCAACCTTCCTGGTCTTGGTCCACAGCAAATGTTCCCCAGGTCTGTAAAATGTAAGCCAATCTAGACCAAATTTCAGTGACACATATGATGTCGTGAACTTCACAGCTGGAGAACACGACCCCCTTATCCTTCACTTTGTCAATCTGTACAACATTCACTTGGAGCTTCCCAGATGGCACTAGTGGCCAAGAACGTGCCTACCAATGCAGGAGGTGTGAGAGACGTGTGTGCGATCTCTGGGTAGGGAATATCCCCTGGAGACGGGTATGGCAACCTACTCCAGTATTCTTACCTGGAGAATAGAGGAGCCTAGTGGGCTATAGTCCATGAGGTCACAAAGAGTCGCAAATGACTGAAGCGACTTAGCACACACAACATTCACTTAGCTGACCACTGGGGAAAATAAAAATCAAACGAATCCATCTGACAGTAGTTGGAATTGATTGCTTGGGTACACATGTGATATGCACTAAAGATTGTCCCAGGGAAAGTGATGGTATTGAGATCTTTACTGTCTTTTAGTGATGAAGTAAGATGAGGGTTAAGAGGAGTGGAAGATTGAAAGAGGGAAATCACACTGAAGTGGGTCGATCTTGGGTAAGAATATAGGGGATTCATGAGTCTGCTCCTCAAGGATTTTGGTAATTTCAACAGAATTTTTTACCCAGTGACAAATGTGTAAGAAAGAAAACCTCCATCTCTGTCTGCTATGATGTGTGTCTGCCCTGCATTAACAGATCACCCAAGTGACCAACTTCTAAGCTTCCACCACATTCTCTAGGTCAAGCACTCTGCATGGAGGCTGGGACATCCCAGGGGCAGAGGAGGTGCCCATGGCCAGGAGGGGGTGCCATGCAGAGCCCCAGAGGGGGTGCCGGGCCAGAGAACAGGGAAACCTCTCAGGGATCCAGAGGACTGTGCAAACTGTCCTCCTGATGGGGGGGTCCCTATTCCCTTTGAGCTCTGTCCCCTGGGAGCTTCTGGTCCTAGTAACCTAACCAACCAGTTCAAATTCTGGTCCCTCCTTCTCATCCATGTGGAGTCTTTGCCAAGTCTGGGTCAGAGAGAAGATGGGGAAATGTGAGGCGTCAGAATGTGTCTCCAAGTAGAAGTGGCTCCTGGGAGAGTCTGTGCAGAGACACAGCTGTAGGCAGAGGCCCCACAGGGTGACCTGTGTGAAGTTATGTGTGTGTGATGAGTATGTATTAGGATATTACAAATGTGTTTTTTGTTCCTGTGTTAATGTGGTTTTTGCTATTATTGGTGTTCAATTTATGTTT